GACGACACGCACCTCAACCAACCAGTGGCGGTAATGGAGAACGCAAAACTCTGGCCTCCTTGCAGACCATTACATCAACAGATCCCGTCACCGGAGAATCATCAATCGTTCCTTCAGTGCGCATTGCACATGCTCTACATCGTGAGTCGTCGATGTGACATCTCAATCCCATCCTCCTATTCCTTACTTGCCTTTCCCTTCATCGCACCACTATAAGTGGGTCTCTCTTCATTTGTCTTTCCACCAAATGCACTGCTATCTTGTCCACACATGATGGAACAGCTGTTCTTACCCACTCACACTACCTCTACTACAGCCTTGGGTATCGAATGGTCTATGCATTTGAGCAAATAGTCAGAGATGCCGTAGTTCTGACACCTCATCAACACTGGTGGTGTTTTTACTTGCACAATGAAGGTGCACCATTATTGCTGCCTCAAACCTCCCCTAACCACCTGTCTCGTGGTTGTTGATGGAGGAAATCGGAGTGGAAGTAGGTATTTCAGGAGATGACCTCCACCCAGACAGATTGGAATAGTAAAGAGAGAGGTGGCCATGGGGCAGAAGGGAGAGTGGGTGATGGGTGATGAGTGTAGACACGATGCGTTGGTGAGAGGCATTGTGTTCTGGCAGGTGGTTTTGGCGTCTCGATCAGAGATGGGCTACATGAAGGATGGTAGTGGTTTTTCCATTTTGAAGGGGGATAATTGAGAAAGAAATGTGATCGTGTCGAAGACGGATGCATCTCCCATTGGCCTTTTAATAGCTCTTGGTTTTGACTATGGTGCTTTTCTCAGAGGAGACAAGTCGGAGGAGAGAACTGAATGCGTTCCCTCGGATGAAGTTGCAGCAGGTGGGAAATCGCTTCAGTCACACATATTCTCACCTGTACCTCACCTTTTCAGTCTTTCACGCATCCACCTCCACAATGGTAACATTTAGCACTACACATACAACCTGTGATACTGGACGCTGGTCGGGCATCCCTTCTATGCTGTAACGATAAAACTACTTCTCCACTGTGTGCCTTATCAAGCTGACCAAACTAACCTCAAGGCTAGACTTGTGGGAGCATAGTGCGACGTGGCCGAGATCCTTTGTCCGACGTTACGCATAAAGCGACCGACCGCTTCGACTAAACGCCTCAAGGAAGACTCACATGCACACAGACGGGTCATTTGTTACGGATAACGAAATTTAAACAATCTTAGCAGGACGATCTCATAATAGAATGGGTAAGTATCTCCACAGTGTTTAATGGACAATAAATTCACAATGCGACTCCGTGGATCTGCTTAATGCTGTTTATTCCATTCACTGACACTTGATTAAGCCAAATATTCCTACTAGCTGCGATTCACACATGATTTTTTTCCAAGCCTAACCAATTATATCCTAGTAAATCCGTTCAGTCTGGCCTGTTAAGTGTACAGACACTTTACAAGAAGCAAGCATCGCTTTCCACACTTTTGAATTAGAGAAACCGTTTCTGTTTTTCTTAAATTTAACCAAATAAATGTGATGTGATAGCACCAAGGTTTTTGTATAAGATCGAAACACGAAAAAAGGCATAGGCGGAACAGGATATCAGTGGTGTGAGACTAATAAGTAGGAGAAATCTAACACCAGACAAGTTACAAAGCGTCATTTCATGCAGGTGTCAGAGAGTCAAAATTGGTCAAACGGCTACCCTTCAATAAGTCAGTTTGTTATGAACACAATGACAAGTCTTACGAAACGTCCCTGGTGAAAAGTAATAAGCGGAAAAAAGCATTCCACTAGGTTAAAATCCGATTAACACAATTTCTAGAAAAAAAGGTGTTTTTGACCGAACACCAAAAAGTGCATTCAGAGAAGGAACCCGATGTAAGTGAGGATGAACAACTACAGTCCAGTAGAAGAAAATTACAGATATTTTCAACGAATAAGCCGTCACGAAAGGTCAAAGCACAAAATGTTTACCGAAATCAGGTGCTTTGTTAATGAGACCAATGTTAACTGCTAGACTACCAGATAAGGCAACAGATTCCAAAAAACAAGATGCACCAAAGAGTTGGCATTACTTGTTTCGTTCAAAAACAAGTATCAAAATGGGACTAAAATGCCTTGAGATTAGAATTAAAATGTTTCTGGTAATACAAAGAGCAAAATGGTGATTCACAAAGCCGAATAAATACCAATAAAAAGGGAGATATTCCATATGGCCGACTGAAGGAGGCAATTGCATATATCTTAAAACAACACAACCAAAAGAGCATGAACACTCGCTCCTTATTTTCTTAATTATCTGCACTTCATCTTCAATTGCACCTACTGCCGATGTCACACCCGAAAATAGCATCGGCCGGCATTTAATTCATTCATACGTAAACGGTTTGCACAATGACCTAGCCAATCAGTCATGGCCTTCCAATGCAGTCACTTTCAGCCCTCCAACCATTTCTCTCTAGCTATGCTTGCAGGTGTAAGTCATCATCAAGCTCCTACCTTCCTTCTAATGTCTATCTCCACAATCCTGACCACCAACGGGACGCCCAACTCCCCATCCCCTGAAGTCTATCTCCTCTTGTTCCATGGCCCCAACAGAATGCACCTCCTCCACCACAGATATCTTCTGCAAAAATCATCGACAATAATGGTATGCATCGCCTTTATCCTTCTCTTCAGAGGTAGTTACCCACATGTTCACCCTCTCTCAGATCTAGTCTCCAGGATTGAATTAAAGAATTTTAAATCAACATAACGTACCTCACTATGTGGCTGACAGCCGGTGGTCGGGTAGTGATGAGCAAGGAGAAAGGTAGCAATTGCCCTTTTAGTTGGAATACCGGGATAAAACGCCATCAAGCCAAATGAATGTTACGCCAGTGACAACGTTAGGACCATCGACAGCAGAAACGACGACAGAGGTGAGGGAGGTTGAAATGTAGGCTCAATATCAGCCCCTGTCCCTTCCAAAATTTCATTATTGAATACATATATGCACTGTTGAGTAAACAATGTAATTGAAGGTTCCAGCATTTTATCGCTAGAAGTAAAAGTCAGTCAGCCAAATAGATGAATGAAAGAGTAGATATGTGGTGCCGTTATGCCCACTTCCACAACATGTAATTAGTGCATCCATCCTGAGTGGACAGATGGAGAGATACACAGATTGATAGATTTGATGATGATTGATTGATAGATAGCTGGATGGCCGGATAGATGGTCAGACAGGAGATGCAGTGCCTGCGCCTTCAGACTAAATCTAAATTAATACACATCTTCCCTCTTAGCCACTAATCCTG